GACGGGGGGGTGGTGGGGGTTTGTCCGGGGGGGGGGGAGTGGCCAGGGAGGGGTCAACGGGGGAAAAAGGATTCATATCTAATACTTTAAACAATAAAAAAAATCCGTGGTTGAAAAGTATTTTTCCACCATGAATAAGTAGCATGGTGGCATATCTATTTTGAGAACTAAATATTTATCAGATCACTAACATGCTATGCATTTGAAAGAAAATAATTAGTTAGGAAGTATTACGACATTTGTCAATCGATATTTTCCTCTCTCAGATGAACCATTTTTTTCATAGATGAAGACACTTTTTTCTGATAAAGGAATATATACTCTTTGTACAACACCTGTAAAATAAAGAAAATGTAAAAAGAAAAAAAAATTGTCCCCAACCCCACTAAAATTGAGATTTCTGGTAGTTTTTTTTCTATGTATGTGAGTATGTATACATATAAATGTACATTTTTTTCACTTAATTATATATTGTGTGAGTGATGTCTATTTTTCCTTTACCATTATGGAGTGAATATTTTCCCATTTTTAGGAAAAGAATGTGCTCAATCATCCTAATAAAATATGTAAGCATTGTTGCTGATTACTTCACATTTCAGTTCAGATTGTAGAAACCTTCATGAGAAATTTAAGAGGAGTAAAGTGGTTACATTACCTTTCCATCATGAATATTGTTTACTAGAGGCCCAATGCACGAAATTCATGCAAGAGTAGGCCTTCCTTCCCTTGGCTGCTGGCACTGGCTTCCCTCTGGCACCCGGGACCCAGGCTTCCCTTTGGCCTCTGGCAGGGACCCGATACTTGGGCTTCCCTCCAGCTGCCGGCAGACATCTGGGACCCGGGCTTCCCTTGCAGCTCCAGCTTCATCTGGAAGGTTGTCTGGAAGGACAGCCGGTCTAATTAGCATATTACGGTTTTATTATTATAGATGATTATTGTTCTTACCCATCTCCATTTCGGTATATGGAATGAACAATTTCTGCACAACTGGTTCTAAATCTTCTCTTGCTGTTTTTGAAGATGTGCAAGTCAGATGAACCAAATCTGTTTAAAAAGAAATATTTTTAGTTTCTGCTTACCATGAATTTCACTGAGTACTCATATTCAAGGCACTAAGCTGTATCCATGGGAAACAGAGAGTTGAGCAAGCCATGGCTGCGGATTTCAAGAAATTTATAATCTAGCAATAGGGGGAATTGTAAAAACTATAAAAATATGCTGTGTTTGTTAACCAAATTGCTAACATATGTGCTAACTAATAACTATGCTAGAGCATACTGAGGCCTAAGAAGAAGTAGTAGTTGCTGGTTCGTTTTGTAAAACCAGCAGATTAGAAAAGCTTAGGAAAGCATTTATTCAGAGAAAGACCGTATGTTATCCTTATGAAATTCCCAAAGCAGGTTGATAAAGATTGGAAATGCAATATTTATTTACCTAGAGAACATTTCATCAGACCGAAGAACCCATTTATACAAACTTTACTGATAAGTTAAGAACAAAGCATCTAGTCATTATAGGGTTCTCAAAGAAACTATTTGGGCAAAGACTGTTGGCTTAGTTTGAATCCTGTATCTACTTGAAAGTTCATAAAATAGCACAAGTTAAAGGAATCTATAATATTTTCAGAAATTCCAAATCACTTCCTTTTGCATTTATAAAATCAATAGAGGCCTGGTGCATGAAATTCGTGCATGGGTAGGGTCCCTAGGCCTGGCCGGGTGATCAGAGCCGATTGGGGCCTTCTGGCTGCTGGCCAGGGCCTTCCATTCTGCGCTGCCCCCTGGTGGTCAGCGCACGTCATAGCGAGCAATCAAACTTCCGGTTTCTGGGTGGAACTCCCGAGGGGACTCTTTGCATATTAGCCTTATATATAGATTTCCCATGTTAAAGCTTGAAAGTGATGAGCCAAAAGATAGGATGGGAAAATGAAATTTCCTGCCCTCCCAATAATGGTTATTCTTGTGGATAAAGAACGGGTTTTACAGAAAGTGAACTTTGACCTCAGAGAATGTTAGGGTTAGAGAATATCATGTACCAAAAACAGCCCTTCACAGATATGAAATACTGTAGCCTAATGCACTTAGAATTCCTAAAGGCTTACACACAGAGGTAAAGGAAGAATGAAAAGGTCTATGTACTGAAAGAAAGGGCTAAGGGGACCCCTAAATGCGAGAAATTCTTATGATCCTGGAAAGGGCTTGGGAGGGATAGGATAATGGCAGAGAGAATATATTAGAGAACATTACATACTGAGAAATTCCTTCCCCCAAAACACCAGTAGAAAAATACACCCACTTCTTTTCTAAAAGTTTATTTCAGACTGCTAGACTTTAAAAAACAAAAACATAAGAAGATAGTTGAAAGTTTATCCATGAGTGCCAACATCAGAATAGGAATCTTTTTATTAAAATTCATTCCACATTCAACTATTCTGTCTCTATATATCTAAGCATAAATTGAGGGACTCTTAACCATGTGTGCTAAAATCAAATTTTGTAGTATTTATTTTTTAGTATTTATTCAGATCTACCAAAATAATTGATATTTTAAGAGAGTTTCTGTCTTATGTATGACCTAATAAAAGATCTACCTTATTTAAGGAATGTTTTTGCATAAATTTAACAAAGATTCCCATTGGTTCTGGTATATTGTAGGATGTATGGTACTAATTATTTCAAAAGGTATAATAACCTTCACAACGAAATTTTTCCTAATTAAGTTATATTTTTCAAATGCTATATTAATTTGGTGGGAGGGAGTTTAAGCTCTTCGGATAATTGCTGAATTAAACAGAGTATAGAACTACAATGGCAGAAATACCTGATATAACACTCAAGAGAAACTGTCCTATCATCTCATCCCACAGTCTCATAAAATATCAATGTTCATGTCAAAGTTCTCATTTTTCCAGTTCTTTCCTATTCAACTAATGTATACTAGGAAAAAAGGAGATAAACATAAATATAAATTTATAAAAAAATATATTTTAAAAAAAACATCTTAATGATAAACTCTGGTTCTGTGAAACAGGATACATAAAAGAAATACACTGGCGCAATTATATCCTTTGTTTCCTAACAATATAACAAAGTTCAGGGAGTGCTAGCAAAAATTTCTAGTAATGAAGTCAGATAACCATCTTGTACTTAAATGATTTTTATACTAATTCTTAGAAAGAAAAATTAAAGAAATTCATAACCTGAATTTTAATATCTATACCTTGATTTCACATTGATGCTACCTTATTAATTTATCTACAAATTTAAGATATAATTGGCCATTTTTTTCCCTACTCATCTTACTTTTCCTGATGCCTATGTTACTTCCTTGTATAGGTTACTCTGAATTCACTACTTCTCTTTAAATCAGAAAGATTACAGATTATGTTATTTTTTTAAAAATTCAGATTATTTTCAAAATCGGTTTATCAATCTTCATGCCTCTTGGCATTCCTTTGTAAGGTCAAGTTTTAGAGTCAATTTTTCGTTTCTTTGTCAGATACAGTGTGCATTCAATAAATATTCCCTTTCATAGGTAGACATTAAGTACTCATAGGCTTAAACGGACACATGTATGCCCACAAATATATGTATGCATACACATGAACAGGGAAATTTTCCTACTTTCTTATATGAAATGTAGAAAATTATCTAATCGACCAGGGTAGAGGTAAGAAAAGTATAAATGGATAACCCTGAAATTATTTAAATCTGTCTGAAAAATGTTCACAGACATTTTAAGATGTGCCTATAAAATTCTCAAGAGAATTTAAAAGATTATGTAGAATTGACTGTACAGCTAACCTACATTTGTCAGACACTATTCTAAGCATGTTAGAAGTATTATTTTATTTCACTTATGCAAAAACCAACTGTGATACTCACTTTACGGGGGGGAAAACAGAGGAACACTGGAGTTAAGCAGATTTTCCAAAGCCAAGCAATTAATAAAAGGAAGAACTGGAACTCAGACCTGGAATTCAAGCCAACCTGGGCTGCCTCTAGAGTGTCTGGTGTTAGTCACGAAATGATGTTGAGTAATTATAATAATCTCCTGTCCACGGTGCAGCCTGCCACATAAGGCAGGGATCATAAAACTAAGATGTGGCCCTAACCGGTTTGGCTCAGTGGATGGAGCATCGGCCTGCGGACTCAAGGGTCCCAGGTTTGATTCCGGTCAAGGGCATGTACCTTGGTTGCGGGCACATCCCCAGTGGGGAGTGTGCAGGAGGCAGCTGATCGATGTTTCTCTCTCATCGATGTTTCTGGCTCTCTATCTCTTTCCTTTCCTCTCTGTAAAAAATCAATAAAATATATTTAAAAAAACAAAACAAAAACAAAAAACTAAGATGTGTACAAAGATACAAGAGGACTTTTCACCAGGCATAAAAATTATAAGGATGTCATTGTCCAGATGCTCAACCATAGCCTCCTTCCACTTTATTAAGCAATGCATTTCCATATATTTATTTTTGTTTAATGACCTTTAATTAAAATTATAATTATTGTTTGATCAATTTTATACAAATAATAATTGTATTGTTTAATCCAGAGGCTTATTGTCCAAGAAAATTTTTTAAAAATTACATTTCCATGTTTTTTTTAAAATGGGTGATAATGGGCATCAAATATCTCTGGTATTTAATTCAACTGAATACATTTTAAAAAGTGATATTATAGTTTTACTATTATATTATTAATACTTATAAACTTAGAAACTACATTCTTGGCAATTATTTGATTATGATGAAAAATTGTGTATTTCAACTTATAAGTGTTCAAGGGGTACATGATAAAAAGTTTAAAGGCCTAAGGCATTAAGGTAATCACAAAATGAAACATACATTGCCACATTTCTACTAAAATTTAACTTTGTATAAAAATGCTTCTTTGCATCCTGTAACTTTAATTATTTCCCACAGGATTAACTTGCTCAATAAATGCTAAAAATAACCACAAATTAGATCAGATGGGGCAAGCACTTTCCTAAAAATATTACATTCATTAGTACCAATTAACACCTATTACTAAGATTTTGAAGATGTACTAGAAGTGGAAACATTACTTACTGGCATCATGTGAAATTATAACTGACTCAAGAAAATATTTAAACCCTGACTACCATTTATAAACTATGTTCCTTTCAACTCGTTTAGCAACTGCTTAAAGGCTTAATGGGCTAAAAGATAACAAAATGTGTTCTCTGTCACAATTCCTCTGTCGGCAATATACTTAGATTTTTGTTGGCATTAAAGAAACCTTCATGCAAAATAAGATTTAATTCATAGAACGTAAGGGTAATACTTGAAAAAACTTGGGTGAAGTGCCAGTCACAGACAGCATCACTGAAACAAAGAGCATCTGATGTTCAGAAGTATACATCATCAACACCAAACTAGAAATAAGAACACACTTTCAGTTCTCTAAAACTGGGTTTAGAAGAGTGATCTGTCATATAATAAGCTACTGCTCTCTTACAAGTTTTTTTTAATTAAACACAAGAGAAGTAGGATTTCTACTCAGAATTTGTATAACAATGAGCACATTTAAAAGTGACAAGTCTAATGTACAGTAGCAGAGTGATAGACTAGAGAATGGTTATGCAGATCTAGTGTGATATTGCTCTCTGTATCTACTTGGCCAAGTCAGTTTACCTCTCTGGCCTAAGCATCCTCATTATTAAGTGAAAGGGGTGTAATTAGTTTACCTATAAGACCTTTTTCTAGTTCTAAAGTTTTATGACTCTAACTCCCTTTTCATTGGCCATGCTTCTTTCAATGATGACAGATTTTAAACCAAAAGCTGATGGCATTAGAAGTGTGAGCGTAAAATCTAAGTAAATGCTTGCTGAAAAAAGTAGAAAATCTATTTCTCAAGCTTCTGAGATTATCACATAGAGTAGTCATTTTACTCTGTGTAAGTAGGCATAAATTGTTCCCAATGCATTTAAAGAAACTATGTGTGGGCTAGTCAGCAAATGCATTTCTTAGTGCAACCTAATTAGGAATACATAATTTGTGTAAATAGGGATCAATGTGGCTCATA